GGTCAGATTGCTTTTTGTTCAAGCAAGTTATCGTGGTTAATAGATTTTCACTACATTTTGTGCAGAACAAAATTCTATAGAATTGGTTTGAAAGAGTCGGATGAAGAGAAATAAAACGAAGTTTTTTCCTCTTTTCACTCAAATTCAGTTGAGCTTCGGACAAAAAATGAGGACAAAATGTAAGTATTTTAACTAGCATGCTGTTAGCAAAACTTCAAACCAAAATCTCCTTAAAACGGGTCAAATATTTTTGTTCAAAATCAAGAAAAGGAACATGGTCAATTGTAGATATTCGTACATCGGCTGACTCTGTTTAACAGGGTCAATTAATGTAAGAATATCTACAACTGACCATGTCTCACTTCTTAATTTTGAACCAAATTTGTTTACTCGTTTTAACAATGAGATATTGGTGTCAAATTTTTTGTCCGCATCTTTTTTTTTGTTCAAATTTAACTGAATATGAGAAAAACGAGATAAATATTTTTTTTTCATTTCAATCGATCATTTCAAACCAGTACTATAATTTTAGTATAATTCAAACCAGTACAAAATGCAGTGAAACGTCGATAAAACCGCGATTAACATGCGTGAACAAAAAGCAATTCAACTTAATGAAAAGTATCAGAATTGCAAGAAAAAACATAAATTTTTTTTAAATGAGAAAAGCTTTTACAAAAAACGTGTTTTGAAAACACTTTGTAGTTGTTGAATTGTTTAAAATGATTAGATTTTCTTGTCTTCGTCTTTAACAAGTATTTCTTGAACTATTTAGATCATCTTGACTAGATTGATCCAATGTTACTACTTCTATGACCTCTGTCCTAAGATATGCCAAGCACTGAAATTAATTAAAACTAAACTTCATACCCTCGCACTCAAAAGGTCAAAACATTTATTGTTTTTATTATTAGCTAATCGAAATAAACAAAATTTAAATTGAGATGGATTCAAGAAGTTCATTTCTCTCCAGAGTGTTCGCGAAAGGAAGAAAAAAACCTAGCGGTAGTATAGACCAAGGAGGGATCGATGGAAGCAGTCAGTGGTCGGAGTATCCGATCATCAGCGAGCACTCGGAGACAGTCGAGCCCGATTACCACGGGGAAAGCAGCCAATTTCTGTTTTCTTCAGGTAGTGGAACTAACTCTAAATTTTTTGTAGACAAAAGTAGAAAACAAGTAGTAATCAGAAGTAGACAAACCTTACTAGATCAGTAGCGGACTTAGGGGGGGGGAGGGGGCGGGGTAGGCGGACGCTTTTCCTTCTTCTGGGATTCGATCCCCTGCCGACCCAAAGCGTCCCCCCTTTGTACTATTTTGAGATATCCATTTTTGGCAGACTGACCTCAAAATTTTTCTAAAGGCGCCTTCTGCGCCAATCTATACTAATTTAAAGGGGTAAGCGCGCCGCAAAACGCGACTTTACGGTCAAAATTTTCCAAAAAGTGCCTAAAAACACCTTTTTTGGCCTGTTATTTCAAAATTGTGCCATGACCCAGAATACTTGGACTAAAAAGGGACTTTTTAGTGCTTTGGGAGAGCTCACAAAATCATATTGGTTGACCTTATAAAAAAGGTCGACAAAATTTTCAATTGTTTTTTGAAAATCCGCCCCCCCCCCGAGAAATTCCTAGATCCGCGCCTGGAGTAAATGTTGATGATACTGCCATTCGTATTTAGTACAACCACGCATAAAAACGCCGACTCGGAAGAAAAACGCCAAAAGTTTTAACACAACTTAAAACTGCTTGAAAATTAAATTCATAAATTGGATAAAGAAAAAAAATAAAGGTTTTCAAAAAACAACAAAAACAAACAAAAATTTTTGCAAGAAAAAGTAAAAGCTATTTTATTCCGCACAAAAAACTTTGGTTTGATCTATGATGAAAACTTGAATACACAATTTTTAGATAAGAAACGCACCAAATTTGGAGAGCAGGCTTTTTAGATTGCAAAAAATGGCATCTAAGGTTAACTACGCAACCTCTTATTCCGTGTTTTATTCAGTAGTTTACAGATCTTAAAATGAAACTGAAATTGGCAGCATATGTCTAAAAATGTTGGCAGCAACATTCAAGTTAATTTAGAGTATTTCAATATCATTCATTTTAGAGTTAACAACCAATTATTTTTGCCCCAAGATTTTCATTTTTATGAGATATGAAAAATCACAACTTAAGTTTTTCAGGAACAAAAGTATAACTAAGATTTTTTAGGGCTAGGCAAATTACATTATAATGTAACTGTGTACAAGAAATCAGCAACTTTGCATCCAACTTTCATCAGATTAACAAAAAAACAGCAGTTTTCAAAATTAATGTCTTCAATTTTAGCTTTGGAACGCTCATCACTGCAATTCATTTTTCCGAGCTTAAAATGCTGCTAGTTTGAAAAACGAAACTTTTCTATTGCTTTTTTTCTCATTTTTACCATAATTCAAAATGTGTACGAACTCTGCATTCAGGTGTCTTTTAGTTTTTTTTCCACACGAAATCAGGTACCACAATTGATTTAACAGTTTAACAGGGTCAATTGATGTAAGATTATCTACAACTGACCGTGTTTCACTTCTTAATTTTGAACCAAATTTGCTAACTCGTTTTAACAATGAGATATTGGTGTAAACTTTTCTGTCCGCATCTTTTTTTTTGTTCAAAGTTAACTGAATATGAGAAAAACGAGATTAATTTTTTTTTCTTTTCAATCGATCATTTCAAACCATTACTCTAATTTTAGTATAATTCAAACCAGTACAAATTGCATTGAAACATCGATAAAACCGCGATTAACATGCGTGAACAAAAAGCAATTCAACTTAATGAAAAGTATCAGAATTGCAAGAAAAAACATAAACTTCTGTAAAATGAGAAAAGATTTTACAAAAAACATATTTTGAAAACACTTTGTAGTTGTTGAATTGTTTAAATTGGTTAGATTTTCTTCTCTTTGTTTTTAACAAGGATTTCTTGAACTATTTAGATCATCTTGACTAGATTGATCTAATGTTACTACTTCTATGACCTCTGTCCTAAGATATGCCAAGCACTGAACTTAATTATAACTAAACTTCATACCCTCGCATTCAAAAGGTCAAAACAGTTATTGTTTTTATTATTAGTTAATCGAAATAAACAAAGTTTAAATTGAGATGGATTCAAGAAGTTCAAATCTCTCCAGAGTGTTCGCGAAAAGAAGAAAAAAACCTAGCGGTAGTATAGACCAAGGAGGGATCGATGGAAGCAGTCAGTGGTCGGAGTATCCGATCATCAGCGAGCACTCGGAGACAGTCGAGCCCGATTACCACGGGGAAAGCAGCCAATTTCTGTTTTCTTCAGGTAGTGGAACTAACACTAAATTTTTTGTAGACAAAAGAAAAAAAAACAAGTAGTAGTCAGAAGTAGACAAACCTTACTAGATCAGTAGCGGACTTAGGGGGGAGGGGGCGGGGTAGGCGGACGCTTTTCCTTCTTCTGGGATTCGATCCCCTGCCGACCCAAAGAGTGCCCCCTTTGTACTATTTTGAGATATCCATTTTTGGCAGACTGACCTTAAAATTTTTCTAAAGGAGCCTTCTGCGCCAATCTATACTATTTTAAAGGGGGGAGCGCGCCGAAAAACGCGACTTTACGGTCAAAATTTTCCAAAAAGTGCCTAAAAACACCTTTTTTGGCCTGTTATTTCAAAATTGTGCCATGTCGCAGAATATTTGGACTAAAAAGGGACTTTTTAGTGCTTTGGGAGAGCTCACAAAATCATATTGGTTGACCTTATAAAAAAGGTCGACAAAATTTTCAATTGTTTTTTGAAAATCCGCCCCCCTCCCCGAGAAATTCCTAGATCCGCGCCTGGAGTAAATATTGATGATACTGCCATTCGTATTTAGTACAACCACGCATAAAAACGCCGACTCGGAAGAAAAACGCCAAAAGTTTTAACACAACTTAAAACTGTTTGAAAATTAAATTCATAAATTGGATAAAGAAAAAAAATAAAGGTTTTCAAAAAACAACAAAAACAAACAAAAATTTTTGCAAGAAAAAGTAAAAGCAAATTTATTCCGCACAAAAAACTTTGGTTTGATCTATGATGAAAACTTGAATACACGATTTTTAGATAAAAAACGCACCAAATTTGGAGAGCAGGCTTTTTAGATTGCAAAAAATGGCATCTAAGGTTAACTACGCAACCTCTTATTCCGTGTTTTATTCAGTAGTTTACAGATCTTAAAATGAAACTGAAATTGGCAGCATATGTCTAAAAATGTTGGCAGCAACATTCAAGTTAATTTAGAGTATTTCAATATCATTCATTTTAGAGTTAACAACCAATTATTTTTGCCCCAAGATTTTCATTTTTATGAGATATGAAAAATCACAACTTAAGTTTTTCAGGAACAAAAGTATAACTAAGATTTTTTAGGGCTAGGCAAATTACATTATAATGTAACTGTGTACAAGAAATCAGCAACTTTGCATCCAACTTTCATCAGATTAACAAAAAAACAGCAGTTTTCAAAATTAATGTCTTCAATTTTAGCTTTGGAACGCTCATCACTGCAATTCATTTTTCCGAGCTTAAAATGCTGCTAGTTTGAAAAACGAAACTTTTCTATTGCTTTTTTTCTCATTTTTACCATAATTCAAAATGTGTACGAACTCTGCATTCAGGTGTCTTTTAGTTTTTTTTCCACACGAAATCAGGTACCACAAACTATCATCGGAATGAGTCGAACGATATATCATATTAAACTCCTTTCAGTCATAATTTGAACAATTTTAAAAGTTTGTATAAACTTGTCCGAGTGCCGAGAAAAACCATCATGAAATTTTTGAGTTTCAGTGTAATTTTGAGCGTTCGGGTTACGTTCGTATAATAGAAAGTTGGTCAATTAGACTAAGAAACCTTGACATTAATAAAGCGAAAACAGTTTTGAGAAGCTTCATTCAGCGCTTGTTTGCAATTAAATGTATTAAATAACTTTAGAAAAATACTTTGATAACCAATGAAACTTCTTGTAACTTAAGTTGTAAAACTAATAAGAATTTCAATAAACTCTCCGAACTTGATCTTTTTGTCTTTCTTTTTCTAGCTCAGATCTACTGGCTTAGTTCCATACGTATGTATGGCCAACTGGCCAACAGTCTTTTTATTTTAGGCCGGTGCTTATGGCCTTGAAAATAATAGATAACAATAGATTAATATATCTAGCATCAAGAGGTTACTGCAACCGCAGTACTACAAATACTTTCAGATTATTTTTCAATTGTTTTCAATTTTTGTTTGTTATTCGTTTTTTTTTCGACGACAATTTTTGCCGATTTGTCTCCAATCACTAACTTCATACCCGTTTGTATAGTGATTGCGTCACATTATGCACAAAAAGGACGAAACTACTATTTTCATGAAAAACAAAAGAAAAAACATCTCGTTTGAAGACACTTGAAAACGAATCTGTATATCCAACTGTGATCTTCCCGCAGTAAATAATGAATTTAGATATAGGTTCTTAGATATTGAAATGTGTACATGTATCTATTTATCTGCCTGAAAACAATCTACAATTGAATAAGGAATTGATTTCATAAACTATTTTATTTATTTTTCTTTTACTTTTTAATATAGTTGTAATTTATTTTAAATTTTGAAGAAAACTTACCGAAGGCTAGATTTTGTTCACTTTTGTGTCCTTTCATTTTACCTTCATGGCCCATGAAGGGACGGATTATCAAAATTTTTAAGTAGTTTTGTCGACTTTTCTTAGCTCATCCCAATCGACTTTCCGCGCACTCCGAAAACATCATTTTTGCATTATTAAACATGTTATTAAAACCTCCAGGATACTCGGTGGAACCCAACCTGTACTCGATCAACCAATCACATGTCTCGGAGGGAGAGGGCCACGTTCTCTCGGACTCATGCATGACTCAAACGTACGACACTATGGAAGATATCGTGAGTCATGCATGGGGGCACAATGGACACAAGACACGGGCATACCGAGAGGGGGTGATACAGAAAAAATTGGGTAAGTTACAGAACTATGTACTTGAGTTCACGTTTTATGTATGATATTTCAATCGCTCTTGGGGAAAATGTTGAAACTTTAGAACTGGGCGTATTAGTTCAAAAAGATATTGTACAAAATGTTGAATACGTGCGAATGAGATGGTATGTAGTCGAAATCAATTTTTTGTTTTAGGTCTGCAGAGCCACAGAAGATTCGAGGAGTCTCGTCGAATGACTAATTCTCAAACGGCCAGTTTCCAAAAGTCATCGGTAAGAGCACAGTAAAATGATTGCCCTCAAAGTAAACGCGCCTTGTTATCATTCTGACAAAATTAGCTCTCACGAATTTAACCCGTAAAATTAGTTTATAAGTACTACCATAGAACTGGGTGCCGGAAATCATGCCGACGGGATTTCAAGGCGAATCGTAAAATACGGGACTTCAAGCCGAATTTTGTGTTGAAAGTCATGACATACGATTAATTTGAAAACTGTCTTACAGAAAATCTGAATTTGACGAGCTTTTTATAACATTGTTGATTCTGAGCACTGGTTTTTCCTGTGTATTTTTTGTGCATTTCAAAATCCTGCTATCCGATGCCACTTTTAAGTAGTGCATTATAATGAAGAACGCTTATTATGAACTAAAATTGCAGCCCCGTCAACATGTTGTCCTAGACCCCTTAGAACCATGCATATAATAATCAAAGTTTGAGTGAGTGCCAAGAGACAGGTCTGGTCGGCGGTGTATCGACTAGCATAAAGCTCGAATGGCAGAAAATATTTTAAATTGAAAATCGTATCGATTAGCATAAAAATTGGAACACAAAAATCATATGTTATCGAAATTTAAATCTTTATACTCAAAAATATATTTAATCACAATTTTTATACACATTTAAATCAGCGGTAATCAGCGTTCTGTTCAAGCCATTACAGATCATGGTGTGACTAATCAAAATTCATGGGATGAAAACTTTCATTTTTTTGTTGATTACTTAATTTCTCCGTAGCTCAATTTTCTATTTCACGGAAAAGCACGTTTCAGTTTGAGCGGATTAAAACTGTAGTTTTGTATTTCTGAGAAATTAGGCTATCGAAATTACGCTTTCGATTTTTTTAAAATGTTTTTAAACTTTTATGCTAGTCGAGCTTTATGCTAATCGAGCAACAGCGGTCTGATCTACACAGTGGACTTAATATACACTTATAAGCGGGGAGTGTTGCAATGCAAAACAAGAGTGTAGAATAAAACAAGTATAGATGCATATAAAACAAGCACAGTTGGCCGAGCGGCCTAGAGACAAGTCTCTCACGACGGTCAACCGGGTTCGAGTCCCCCCATATGCAGACCTTAAAACATGTAGACCCGAGGGGCTATAGCCCCATTTGACCGTTTTTTACTGTTTTTTGGTTCTAATTCGGTTCAGCCTTGATTAAGGTTGACCGCCAAAAAGAGCAATTTGTCTCAAGGACATTACCGACCGGTTCTTGTGGCTAGCTTGCGCCGATTTGTACCAAAAACGAACAGATGCTAAAAATGTTGTATGATGTCCTGATCAATAGAAAAATACCGAAATTTATCTATTGCTTGAGTTATTTACCGATAAATATCTCTTATTAATTTACGAATTTGGATTCAATTATTTTCGTTTGGAGATTAGCGAGCATATTTTGGCGCCCCACAAGGGACCACATTCTGTAGCAGTAGGACAGTATTCTCTAACTCAGAGAGCAGTATTCTACATTGTAGCAGTATCGAAAGGAGTTAATTCAAAAAGCAGCTCAGTCAGACGAGGCGTGGTCGAGAAAGCTGTGAGACGTCCTGTGGTGCTGTATTGTTGCAGTATCGAAAGCAGTTCATTCATACAGAAGTTCAAACAGACGGGGAGTGGTCGAGAAGGCTGTAAGACTTCCTGTGGTGCCGTTTTTCTGACAGGGTTGCTGTTGTGCCAGTGCTCCTGTGTTCTTTTGCTGCCAGTGCTCCTGTGGTCCTTTGCTGCCAGTGGTCCTTTGCTGCCAGTGCTCTTGTGGTGCTGTTTTGCTACCCAGACAGTGGTGCTGTTTTGCTGTTTAGAAGTCCTGATATTAGAAGTACTGAGACGCCCGACACCCGTCGCAGCGATGCTGTTTTACTGCTTAGACGACCGAAACCGGTGATCGCCCAATCTCCAAAACTGTAAGAAGTTTCCAAAACTTTTAAAACTCCAATTGTGCTATAAATTTAAATACGATGTCATTTATGATAGAAATTTTCCCGCAAGCTAGCCCCCGGTAATTTTTCTCGATACCCAAAAATTTTGGACAGTTCCGTTGAACTGAAATATTCTACAGTCGTTACATAGACAAACTGACTTGACATTTTTCTCGATACCAAAAATTTTTGGATATATGTGAGCGGACTATTAATCAGTGAAATCGGAACATAGACAAGAGGTACTGGACTAGTTTTTTGGATTGGTTTATGACTCGAACCTGCTGACCAAAATTTTCTGAAAAATTTTGTATAAAAAGTAAAAAAATTGCCAAAAAATCCTCAAAACGTCTCCAGAATTCTGCGAAACTGTGCTGTAAGATGACACCAACCTTATGTTAAGTGGTCTGGTAGCAAAATATCAGGCAAATTAAGTTGAGTTTTTTCATCCTCAGGTTTCTTCCGCGTGTGTTGTTGGAACTTAACCAATTTGCCTGATCCCCCACCCACCATTGGTGAAACTGAAAGCCAGTTCGCTTCGAGTAAAACAAAGCCGTTTCAGCCCATCAGATTATTGACTTCGTTGCGTGGCAGTAAAGTTAAGTGGTCAGGTACGGTGATATTAAGTGAGTTAAGTTGAATTCTTTCATCCTCAGGTTTACTCCGTGTGTGTTGTTGGAGTTCAACCGACCTACTTAATTTTCCAACCCCATTGGTACTTAAGCGTAACGAAGCCGTCGCATAGGTCCCCTAAGTGTATGGTATTCATTCTAGGAGCTAGTTCTTTGGATCACGCGCTCCGAAAACTTCCCGCTCCGTCCCAGAAGCGCGTCAAAGATACTTGCTTTACGAAGCCAGGTTTAAGTTTGAGCTTTAACGCTAGGGACTCTCAGAAAACAATACAGTACTACCTTCATCATTACTTGTCGCACCGTAAAGACCTTGTAATTTGGCACGACGCCATTAATAACTCGATAAGTAGGCACCGCAGCAACAATAACCGCAAGCTGAGTAGTGAGCAACTTGTCAATTTGTTATTAAGGTATAGGACAAACATTTGTGCGATCGTATACTGTAGACGGAACGGAACCGAGGATATAGAGGAAAGTTTAGGTTCAACAGGTATTCTCGTTCTCAACGTCGTTAAAGACTTTATCTCTAAGCGTAAGGCCAAGGACCAGGTACTAATTGAGAAGTACAAAGAGCTTCACCAGCCTCCTTCCCTTGAGTTAAAGACTCTCCTCCTTCTAAGGCGTTATAGCGCTAATCTTAACATCCTTAAGACACGTAAGAAGCGAAACCGCTTACCCCTCAAAGCTCGGAAAGCTATAAGAAATAGGCTTCAGGTAGAAGCTTTGAGACGTCAAGTTCCCCCGTCTTGTAAGCTAATGTTGATTTACTAATGCCAATTTGATTACGTACCAAAACAGTATCTCATTTTATTGATTGTTTTCTATAAGTGAGCATCCGTAGAATATTGTCAATTTGTGAAAAACATGGACGAAAAATTCCAAAATAAGATACGCAAGTTATTCGAAACCCGTCTAAATCTAGAAAATGAGCTGCTTAAAGGTCACTCATTATTACTTGAGTACATTGAGAATAATAGTCGCACTACAAAAATTGATAATGCTGTTTACAAATGTAAAATTGCGTTGGAAAAAGCTGTCGACGTCAATGAGCAATTAATTAAGTTAGCGGGAAAAACGGAAAATCCTGAAAAAATTATTGCTCAGCAAGACCTTTGGCTTAAGAAAGTAACCGAAATGAACGATAAAGTAATGCACGAAGCTCAGAGTTACAAGATGAGCCTTGAACCTTCGTCATTTCCAGCAGCCGGCATTACAGGGGGCAAGGGATCTTTACAACAAACTAGGTCTGAGACATCCTCACGCTCGCACAAAACAAGTGATTCAGCAGCACGAGTATCTGAAAACAGGTCTAAGGTCTCTAATCAGTCTAAGGATAGTAGAAAGCTTGACTCACATAAGTCTGATAAATCTGCTTCTACTCGTCATACGTCGACTGTTCGCACTATGTCATCAAGTGAGAAACGGCATGAGTTAGCTTTAGTAAAACGACGCCATGAGGAGCTGGAAAGGCAGTATCAAGTGTCTTTAAGACTTAAAGAGCAAGAGAACCGTCTTAAGTTCGAACAAAGTCAGCTGGAACTAGAGCAATTGGCTGAAAATCATAAAAAGCAACTAATTGAAATGGAATTGAAAGCGTTTGAACTTGAGGACAGTTCATCTGAGGTTAGCGAGAAGGTAGCGGAAAGTAACTTAACAGGAGTAAGTCAACCTATTTCAAAGGTAGCAACCGATCGAACTAATGATTGGGTAGACTCTGTTAGTTCACAAGCACCTCCCGACGTTGCTAGTGCGCCAGGTTTGCAGGCCTTCACTCGTGTACCCATTTCGTCAGGACCGACGACTTCCGCCCTCCTTGCTTATGCAATTCACACCAGTAATAGTCATAACCATGAGCACACAGCATTGAGTGACCCTGGAATCCATAGTTATGGACATCGGGCTATGCCTCAATTTGGCAGTGCAAGCCGTTTGCCATTGCAAGCTTCTGTTTCATTCCCAGCCTCTGTTCCATTCCCAGTTAACAATATGCATTCTAGTGCACACGTGTTACCACCACCGTCTGCTGTTCCTTTACAGACCATGAGTTGAAAGACCAAGACAGACCTTTGTGTTGAAAGTCATGACATACGATTAATTTGAAAACTGTCTTACAGAAAATCTGAATTTGACGAGCTTTTTATAACATTGTTGATTCTGAGCACTGGTTTTTCCTGTGTATTTTTTGTGCATTTCAAAATCCTGCTATCCGATGCCACTTTTAAGTAGTGCATTATAATGAAGAACGCTTATTATGAACTAAAATTGCAGCCCCGTCAACATGTTGTCCTAGACCCCTTAGAACCATGCATATAATAATCAAAGTTTGAGTGAGTGCCAAGAGACAGGTCTGGTCGGCGGTGTATCGACTAGCATAAAGCTCGAATGGCAGAAAATATTTTAAATTGAAAATCGTATCGATTAGCATAAAAATTGGAACACAAAAA